CAAAGGTTTTCAAATCCCTCCTTCCTTTTGAGCATATCATCCTCTGTAATATCCTGGCCTTCACATTTGATGTCAATCGCCTCAATATTCTTTAAGGCTTCATCTAGTTGGCTATCAATATTACCAAACACATCCTTGTTCCATTGCTTCAGGTGCTTTCGGAGAGCCTTTAGCTTTTCTTTACATTTGAAACCCCAATATCCCTCAACTTGGAAAGAGTTCCACAAACTCTGTATCATTTTACTAAAATCATGATGTGAAGTCCAACTGTCAATCGACCTAAATGGTCTAGGTCCCCAATTGGCATTGCTTGAGGTAAGACTGATAGGGCAATGATCACTTATGCTTCTCTTGAAAGCTATTTGAACACAGTCACCCCAAGCCTCTTGAAAGTTTTCAGAAAGAAGAAATCTATCCAGCCTACTCTGGGCAGACCCATCACTCTTATACCAAGTGAACTTCCTGTTTGATAACGGCAAATCGACCAAACCATTTGTATCGATAAACTGGTTAAAATCATTAGTACCTGGATGAGAAATCATTCTGCCTTTCCTTTCGTGCACTCCTCTAACACAGTTGAAGTCTCCCCCAATACAGAAAATGCATGTTCGACAACTAATATGGCCAGAAATGTCATTCCAAAGCTTTGCACGACCCGTAACATTGCAGGGGCCATAAACATTTAAAAAGCAGCAACTAGTTTTATTTGCCCCCCACAGACCCTCCACACTGATGAAACCGTCTCCTTCACATAGATCAATTTTCTTAAATAAGTGAGAATCCCAAATACAAAGAAGACCACCAGATCTGCCATCTGCACTCTTCGCATACCATTCAAAACCCTCTTGCCCCCAAATTGATCTGCACAGATTCTCATCAACTGTCTCGAGTTTTGTTTCTTGGATCATCAAAAAATTCACATGTTCACCACTGACTATCTTCCTCAATTCCTTTCTCTTAACACTGTTCCCGAGCCCGCGAATATTAAAAGATATTACCTTCATTTTAAGAAGAGATCTGGTAGATAAAGCAGCATGATTTAGGACTTTTGCAACCCCTTATCACGCTCTTCTAACTCACGAAATTTGGAAGCAAAGATTTCTTCATTACCCACGAAGCACAACCCTAGCTGTCTTCCAAACTCTACAAAGCGTCTGATATCCATGTCTTCAATATTGATATCCTTAAGTTGGATTCTTTTCTCCATGATGCTATCAGAAAAAGAAAGACTTGAAAAGCTGTCGCCATGCCTCTTACCTCTCTTCCCTATTCTTGCTGACTTCTTTCTGATCCCACGATGCAACCCGGTCACAAGCTTTAGGTTCTTCGTATTTTGAGCACAGTTAGAGGATTGTTGAGAAATTGGGTTTCCCTGCAGTGGTGATTCAGCAACATTTGTAGGAGCATCGGAGCTGCAATGGGCCATGTTTGGGCTCTCATGGGCTTGAGGTGGGCTTCCACGGGTGTCCTGATCAATAGATAAATTTTCCCCAATTTTTGACTCTTTTGGAAATGAAGAGTCAATCCCGTCTGAAAAATTAATTTCACCGCCATTTTCAAACACAGGACATTTAATGGGTTCATCAAATGCCTTTCCCAAGGTGGCTGAGTTATTATCCAAGATTGCAATCCTCTTGGGACTGACAAAATCAGCAGGCTTTTTCAGTAATTCATTTAATGGTTGCTTTCCAGCCTGGCATGGTTGCTCAACTTCGTCATCGGAAGGGAAGCCCCAACTGCCGGAAAACTGATCAGATTCTGAAACAGATTGACCATCCGGATCGGAATCATCGCTGTCATAGACGTCTGATGCTTTAAGCCACCATGGATCAGTCCGCCAACGCTCCTCCGTGATTTTCAACGGGAAAAGTTGACTTCGCACACGCAAAGTAATTTCCTTGTCAATTTGATTTGCTTCAGCAGTTGAAATTAGGATTCTAGCAGCATCTAAACACTCCTTATCATTTGTAAACTGATCAGCCATAATGAAACTTCCCAAGTAATTTCCGATTTTTTCAAAGCATCTCAAGTTCTAGACATGAAGGGGAATACCAGTTATTCGAACCCAAACAAGTCTCTCCGTAGCAATGTCCGAAGGGCTCCAAGGCTTTATTCTTTTGAACCATTTGCTCCACCAAGATTCCTCTTCTTCTATAAATTTATCCAGGGAACCCTTATCATTAGCTTTTAGTAGAACATTGCTACCTCCCATAGGAATAACTGAAATGAATGTGAACCCATTTTCCCAAATTTTCTGTTGCAGACCAGGGATGAGGCGTGGCTCAAGAACCTCGCATGTGGCACAATTACAAAGCCAACTGGAATCTTCCACATCATCCTCCACTTCTAGGATTTTCGCCTGTTCCTTCACTTGTTCACTCGTGTTGGCTGCCAGTTGGGGATGGGACTGGTTTTTCGGTAGGAGAGGTTGGTTGGACGGTTTGGGGGTCGGCCTATTAAGGAGTGCGTCAGCAAAGGATCTTGATTTTAAAGTCTCAGAAGATGGAGGTGGAGGGAGGTGACGGGGCATGGCGAGCTTGGGTTGGGAAGGTTTTCTCTCTGTGGCTAGGGTGACCCTTAGCTTTTCAGTGCCAAAGCAGATCATCTTCAGCGACTTTTCCAGCCTTCCTTTGTCTTTGACTCCTGAGAAGCGTACGAAACCAAAGCAGTTTCCTTTTCTGTCTTTTTTCTTTGGGATAAACACATCAACAATTCTTCCTAGCCCAGCACCATAAGTGGCAAACAGGTACCAGAGCCTCTTTGGGGACCAGTTTTGGGGAAAGTTGGTGAAAAGGTAGGAAGTAGCACTCTTCAGAAGACCGCTGTCGAACATCGGCAACCTGGCAGTTAAAGATCTCGATCCGGAAGACTCATCCTTACTTCTC